GGGCACACTTAGGTTTCGATCGAGCACCTGAACCACTCGACCGTCCAACGACCAAATCTAGAGGTGACGGAATCGGAACAATATATGTGGGGTCAGCAGTGATCGAAGCTGATGAGTGAAAGGTTAGATTTTCCACCACACTAACATGAATCCTGCCATCCGCGCTTCCAGAATAGATGTACTGCTGGCCAGTTGTAGCGCTCGGGGAGAAATGACATCGGATCAGGGTGTGCAAGACACTATGACCTCTATACGTCATGATCGATCTATCGTTTGGGCGTCGCTGATGTCGTGGTTTCTTGTAGGTCCTGGATTCCCGAGTACACATGATAAGCATGCGACACTACAAATGAGAGGCTAGCAAGATACTTACATATTTCGATAGTCCCAATTGTTGACGCCGACTAGCGAATGTCACGTCAGAAACAAGGCCGTCAGCATGTTCTGGTGTACAAGCCTCAGAACGTCGAAATACTCACCGTCGTAGTTGGACACTGGGTCTGAATCAAACTCGGAACTGCTAGACATATGTCTGAGGTCCCAGAGCTTCACGCTTTGGTCTTTGCCGTTGGAAATGCAATATCTTCCATCGCCCTTCGGACTGACATAGGTGATGCCCTCGGTATGACCAGGCAAGACACCAGCAGGTTTGCCGCCGGAAAGTGATCGTCTGTCCCAAACTTTGACAAACGAATCGTCGCTGCCGCTGATGAGGACGTTGCTGCTTCCCGCATCCGCAAATGCGACGGCGTTAACATCATCATAGTGAGCTTGAATGCGCAGTACTCGCTTGCGAGCTTCTATGTCGAACACGCTGATAGATCCCTGATTGGCTCCAGCGACAATCTCTCTCGAGTCGCCGCTAAACCGAATGGACCAGATCTGCGCACGAGTGGAGAATTGCGTATCAGCGGAGATCCGTTGCGAGAGGCTTCGAGAGCAACCGCGATTCGAGAAGTCAAGACACATGGACGCACTCCGTCTCTGCGATATCTCACCCCTGCATCATCGTCTCCTCCGCTGAAGTCGAGCAGCACCTGCTTGTCGGACTGGCTGCCGGACTGCTGTTCGTCCACTCGTGTAGGGACCAGGTAGACGAATGGTGTAATAGACGAGTAGATCATCCACTGGAGCAGGAGGACCGGGAGCGCATCAGCGAAAAAGACTCGTGCCGCAGACGTCTACTTCAGAAGATCACACCCACCGCATTGTTGGGAGACAGGTGCGCATCAGTGATGGTCCACTGACCTGCACGTCCATTGATGGTCTTGATGACTTTCAAGCTCGTCTCGTGTGTCTCTTCATACGTTCGACCTCTCCAACCGCCACCGCCACCGCCACCTGTGCTGGTAACCGCACGAGCATATTTCTGGGGTGCTACCGAAGTGTCGTAGATGTGCACTTTGAAATCCTGATTCAGAGAGTACAAGGAACATGAGCGTCCAAACCAAGCCTGAAAAGTGGTCTGATGCCGCTGACCGGACCGCTCACTTGGTCGCATGTATAGAAGAAGCTACTGTCATCAGAGTACTGTCCACAGTATACCCGAGCAGGATACTTTGCCACTTCCGTGCCATTTGTGTTTGGGACGTGTCTCTGAGGAGGCAGCAAGCATAT